GCCTTAGTTGCCTTCTGTCCTCTTGATGGGTGCGCAAGAGGTGAAGTGGGCCAATAATCGACCAGTACATGAAAGACAACATGGATGCCGTCTGCCCAATGGCAAGAGCTGAAGCGCATTCGAGCACGTCATGTATGTCAAGCACTCGCGACAGATGGCACAGGCTGCACCCTTCTAAGCAACAGCGCAAGAAAGGTTGTGTCCAAGACGACCCCCACGCAAATGGTAGTAGCCCTGTAGCGCGGAACGACGTCCGGGCATTTAGTGAGAGGGTAAAGAATAAGCACTAGCTGACAGGATCGCTTCGACACGAAAAGTGGTGATTGCCGATCTGCTTGATTCACTGAACTATCTCCATATGATTTGCCATAATCGACGAGAGCATGGCGAAGGTAATGGCGTCGACTGATATTGATTAGCTCTGCGCGCTCGAGAATAGAGACTCCAAACAGGTGCGCTACGATAGAAACTTTCTTGCCCGCTCAGCGCGTTTTCGAAGTCCTGCGTAATTTGCAAGCTCATTTCGTTAATCCTGCAATATTTCAAGTAGGGCTGGACACGCTTCGTCGTCGTGGAAGCCCTTGCTTGCAATGTGTCCGAGCGAGTTTGCGCGCGTTCAAAGTCGAAACATTTCGTATTTACGTCCGGAGAAGCACCGTAGATTACGCAGGAAGGATGTCCATACAAGAATCCTGAGAGAGTTCGAGACAATTCAAAGGAGCTGCTTTGAGGCAACGCCGAAGCCAAGACAGACGGGGCTACAGAGCCGCAACGTCGGTCTATCAGATATCGGTGACCAAGTCCTCTTTGAACCCCCGATAAATTTTTTTTGCGCTTCTTCGGTGTGAGGCGTGAATGAGAGACCATTGTAAGGAGAAATTATGGATGCTGTCAAGATCTTCTGGATTCGTCGGATTGGCATCGTTGTTTTTCGTCTGATAGTGCTGTGCAATCTGCTGAGTAGCCAGCCTAATCTGATTTAAGAACTTGCGCCAACTATTTCATTAACCAAAATGCAAAAGAATCGCATTTCAATGTCTGTAGAGTCCGTAACAGAGGTTAAATTGAAACATCAGCAAGACATTCACAATAAGAGATACATGCAGTACCTACTGGATGTCGCTCGACGGCAAAGACTGTAGGTGGGTAGGTACATGTACAATACGAACCGTCCTCTCTGCGTACCAACCCAGTATATAATGCGCGCTCCTCTCTTAAGGTCATGACGAGATCTACTGCAACCTCTGACATAATGCGAGACAGCTCATGACTCGGATCGCTGCAAGAGTATCGCGGTCGACCACCCCGCCCTTCACAACCACTATCTATCGGGCCTTTTTGAGTGATGACCCTCAAAGGAGTGCGGTCTTGCGGCGTGGCGGAAAGAGCCATTCAGACTCTTGACATTCAAGGCGCACTTTAGTCCCGCTCACTGCTCGTGTCTCTGCGCTTCACGCCACCGAAGATTGCGGGCTTTTGGCTTCTTCGCACGCAGAAGAGTCTTCTCTTGTGAATTCGTCGAGATACAGTGTAGGGCACAAAGCAGCAAAGCGAGCCTTTCACGACGTCACGTGGGAGAAGAAGGAGGAATGGACAAATCTGAGAGAGCGAGAGTTTGCAACTACATTTGAGCCAGCTGCGACAGGCGCGCCACATCTTTAGTCGGGTCCTCCTTATAGACTGGGCTTATTGCAGTATCGCCCACACCGTGGGTGTCAGGATGGAAAACGCCAGTGCCATCGGCAAGAACGGAGCTCTTGACGTCGTTGAGATTCATGGGCACAAAGATGACCTTGCTTCCCGCCGATTTCGCCATTGCCTGTAGCGACTCGAGCTGGCGGATCTGCATCGCAGCAGGACTCTGTGCAAAACGTTCTCGATGAGCTTCGTGAATTGATGAAAAAAAAAACGAGATCGAAACCCACTGAGAGAATGTCGGCGGCCTGGCGCATGAGCTTGGCAGCATCTACTTCAGCTTTTGCGGCAATGACCTTGCTCTCCCCGATTCGGCGCTGCGTCGCGGCCGACGAAAGCGACTCTTGGAGCTCGCGCGAAAAGATGATGTCCTTGATAAGTATGCTCTCAACGACGACACCCCACTATCGCACACTGTCAGCAAGTCTGAAACGTCAAAGGACGTACATGAGGGCGACACACCTTGCTAGCAACTGTCTCGAGTATCTCCTCAACTTGGTGGGCCACTTCAGTGCGGTCGGAAATGACCGACTGGATGGTCCGGCTACCCACGACGTCCCTCAGCGTGGTCTGAGCGCGCTCGACGAGTGAGCGGTGGATGTCTTGGATGCCATACGCCGCCCTGTACGGGTTCGAGACGTGCCAGTAAATGACGCTGTCAACTTCGATGCTAACGTTGTCTCGCGTCGTGACGCGCTGCTGCGGGACGATGATCAGCTGGATCTTGACATCGACAATGCGTAGCGACTCGCTGCAAGGGTTGATCTTGACCAGGCCGGGATCGACGCTCTTGTAGAATTGACCAAACTGTATGTTTTGCATCCTGTCAATATGAGAGGAAGGAGACAGAGGTCATATCCAGTCTGGGGTACCTACCCGGCTCACGAGCCCCACACTTCCTTGCCTGACCTGCTTGAAGGGGTTGGGGCAGGGGCAGCATGGAAATTGCCCAAGGGCACCGGCAGTGTCACCGAGGCAATTGATCAGCGAGCCGTAGAAGCCGTGCTGCGGGAGAGGGAGAGATCACTACATGAGCAGCTACAATCCTGATTTCATGTTCGCCACCCCCTCCTACCTTGACGTCGCTCAGGCCCAGATCCTGGGCGTAGGAAGGCTGCATATCGCTCTTCCTCAGCGGCTGCACAGTGATTATGCCCTCCTGATTGGGCTGGGAAACCCTTACGGGCGCTACCATGGTGGGCACCTTCGAGCTCTGGCTACCCTCAGGTCGCTTGCTGTCAAAGGCGGTCGGGAAGCCATCTTGCTCTTTTATGTCTCCATGACCGTTGTCCTTCATGCTTGAAGGTTAGAATGGATGTGCACAAAGCCCGATGTGGAATGTGAGACGAGAGAAGGGTGTGAGCTCGAATTTCTAAGCAGCAAGCTTGTAGCCTCGTATTTAAGAATAGCTGACTCCGGACGGATATCAGTCCTTCAGCCCTGCTTAAGATAGCAGTGGCTAGGCCAAGGAACAGAGGTAGCCAAGCGCCATTTTTTCTCTCTTCTCACTATCAACATCAAGGGAAATTTCATTACTGCACCGTAACACCGCCTGCTCCTGTTCCACAAGGCAAGGTCTTGAGACACAGCACAGCTGCAGGAACGCCGACAAAGCAGGTGGGACGGAGTGCCGAAAGTGTACATGAGGACATTCTATTTTAGGATTAATATCAAACGTTTATCTCTTATTTCAATACTGGCTTGATTCTAATCTCGCAGAGATTGAATCGACAACCGAGCAAAGAGCAGCGACTTCTTTTGTCGGTCGCATGCAGCGGATGAAAGTTGCAGGCACATGTGACCACGCGGTCAAGCTGTGCGATCGAATTTCTTAAACAAGCAGCAAGTTTATTCCGTCCTTTCTATTTGCATGACCACTTTCCGCTGCCTCGACCTCGTGGGTCAGGCGCTCACATATCATATTTCATCCGAATTCTTGAATTGCTGAGTTCTTATAATTTTACACAAACAGATTCTTAAATTTCCTACATTAGCGCTCGGGAGCGAGGTAATTCTTTTTAAAGTCGGCAGCAGCACGCGACTTACTTCTGACTATCTTCGAGAGAAGCTTATTCCAGCTGGCATTTTCCCGGGCGGTGGATGTGTAGGTAATGGCACATCGCCGATGAAGCGTAACCCCTTTCAAGAGACTGTGCTGGCGTGGAATGTGCCTGCAGATGTCAGAATTCGCTGGCCGCCGAACCATTTAACCGACGATGTCTTCCTACGTTGAGCTACAAGCCAGAAGGCGTGATAACGAGTCTGTAGACTTTGATCTACGGCCTGAAGCTCCGGAGGCCGTTTTTCGAGCAGATTGCTTTTATTGAGACGCTGTATCATCTCAGTAGAATTGCAGCACAGCTAAAAAGAGAAAGTTCACAGCGCTGGTCGTCAACACGATATCGACCTCTGCTTGCTTGAGAGACGCTGTGCCATCCTTCTCATTTGCGATGTCTGATGTGTCTTTGAGTGGTTTTAAAGCCTCAGCGGGGGACAAATGAACGGTCTCCTCGTTGCTGCTGGTCTCCTTTGGGGGACCTGACCACACGATACCAAGGATGGTCCATACGAAATACCCCAGAATAACGAGGAAAAGGGCAAGGTCTGAGTCGTTCCTAGCCAACTCCGAGAGCCTTGACCAGGTTCCTGGGAGAAGAGGGAGCTGAAGTGAGGCGAGAAGATGCAATGGGATTGAAGCCGAGTCCAACTCGAGTTCGGCCACCAAGCAGCATGCTTGCAAGGTTAGGAGCGCCAACACGGCGTAGCATCGAAGGGTTGATAGCTGTGAATCCGGCATAGGCAAGGAAATGCTTATCGAGAGCGCGCTGAGTGCAAAGAAGCACCACATTGTACATTTGCACGCTGTGATTGCGTTCACTGGCCGAACCTTCGCTTCAACGTTTGCAGCGACGACCGTGGCGAATAAGATGCACAACAGGATGCCTGCCGGCCTGCTGTCTTGTCCGAAGATCATTGCGTACGTTGGAAATAGCTTTAAGGGCCAGCGAAGAGTATCCCTTGTAGGCTTGAAGACCCTTCGCAAGATTTTGTCGTCCATTGTGGCCGCGCCGTGTCGAAATGGAGTCGAAAGAAAGGGTGTGCTGAGATGGAGAACTTGTTCAAATGTGAGACACGCGTGTAGGACCCACCTTGAGGCTCGTCACAGACCAGGCGAAAAAACTCACGTGCGATGGATCTATCGAAGTACATGTGAAAGCGGGAGTCGGAAAATCAGAGTCTCGGCCTTGGCTTCGTCGAAGGACAACAGTCAGAGCAATCTTGAGTTGCCCAACACTCCCAATAGCCTCCTGCCCTCGAGAGACAATTGTGCGAGGGCTCGAGAGGCAATCGATCGCATCACTTTCGTTCGAAGCACCATCGTTTCTCCTTCCACATTAAGAGGTATTCGCGACAATTTTGTTTTTCTGAAATGACAGATCAAGTCTTCAAACGACACAGAGCTCCCATCGCGAATGTCGATCTCTGGCCGACAAGCAATGCTTACAAACACTCCTGCGAGTCCCGCACCACTCGTCACCGTGGATGACATCCTCTACTGCAACCATCGTGCCTTCGGTCGCCATAGGCCTTGCTGCCATTGTTGTTGCCATTATATCTTGGAAGCAATACTGCGTCTCCAACCAATACGAGAACGAGATAGGGTCATCCGCCAGCCTCATTATCGCAATAGCTCAACTAGCCCAAGAAGGACTGTAAACTCGGCCATGGGAACCGTTTAAGATCGAGGTTCAACTTCCTCGTGACTTCGCTTTGCTCGAACAATGGCTGGTAGCAGCTCACGAAGCAGGAAGACGGGCAGTAGACATCCAGGTTGCGGAGCAACTTCTCAGCAATTTCAATGCCGTTGTAGGCCTGCTCAACGTGATCCCTCAAGTGGTCTTTGATCTGGGTATACCGGAAAACGCTAACGCGTAGATTGGTTGATGCCAAACACTACTACGGCATCCGTGAAATGAAATTACTCTACTCCAAGTCCTTTTGAAATTTATTACCTAGTGACATTATACCGTGCCGTCTAGAGTCAATGGCATGCCCTGACATGAAGATTGTATCGTCCGACTACTCAATTGCATTCTGAAGTTGTCAATAGCAGAAGGGCGGATGGAAACTGCATGAGCACACGAAATCCCGCGATCGTTCTGGCCGCTCGCATTCGCACACACGTGTTGCGCAAATATGATCAATAATCACGAACAAAGCTTGTGTCAAGACGGCGTTCGCAGCTTTCATCAGCGAACAGATTCATCTTCAAATGATATCCATTCTGGCGTGTGTCGGGAAAGGTACATGATGGATCGATTGAGGGCTTTGTGGTTATAAGTCAGGTCCTAGTTTTCTGTGCGCGGCGATCCTACCGTTCTTCACAGAGAAATATTTTGAGCGAAAATGATTTGCTGCAGGAAGCCCTCAGACACCTACATGCGAGTCCACATCGAAGGCCAACTTCAAAAGTGGAACGAGTCTCAGGCCTTGTCTGAGAATAAGTAAAACCCGCGCGGATGACAGGAGATTATCATGTTGCAGCAAGAGCAACAAACATAATCTTACTCTGGCGAAAACCCATCGGTCGGCTGCAAGTCGCCGAGAGAAAAACGCCGATGTTAAGCAGCGAAGACCCTGTAATTTCCAGCTCTGGACTTGTGAGCGTTCTAATTCGGTTTACTTATACTGTTTCTTACGCTTGCAACGAGGGACAAGGTAATACAACCTCAAAATTTAGCCTTTGTTTCAGTGTCTCAACATTATATATGATGTGAGCTTGGACAAAGCCCCAGATCTCTTCTTCTCTTTTCGGGGAATGGCAGTTGTGGTGAGTAAAATGAAGAAATTCAAAGCTCAAATCTTGCAGCCAGCACAAATACACATTTTTCAGATTAAGAGTACCACGAAAGGCATCTATGACAAAGCTCACCGAGCATCCGAGTCACCGGTCTCTGAGAGAACAGGAGGAATAACTCAAAGTCTTAACGTCATCTCTCGTGCCGGCAAAGATTGCGCTCCGTATTCCTCACAGGTCTACATTCGGCCGTTCTAACGAGTCAAATGAAGAGGCAGAGCAGCGTCCTACAAAACATGGAGTGTTGTAATCGAAATGAAGAGTATAACGAGCTAGCATTCTTTCGACACAACCCCTTGATTGACTCTGATGCAATGCTAAGCAACAATTGAATACTACAAGATACTAAATCATATTTCGCTTCGATAATCTGGTCACGAAACCGACTTTCTTTTCCCTTCTCGCTTCAAGGGATGTTGCGGCGGCAGAGTGGCCATCCCAATTGCAGCTCACATCATTCGCCATTTTGACAGTGGTCAAAGAAAGGGCAACATCAATCTTATGCAAACATTGATCCACGAGCACTATCTCAGATTAGCCCTCGTCTGTATTTATAAGGTCAACAGGCCCATCATGCGCCTTTGTGTAGGGGAAGCAACGTGCTGTTCAAGGTCAAAAACAAAGTACGACGGGTCGCCCAGGTAGTCGAGCTTGGTGTCGAGCTCGTCAGGGCCAAGCACCCAGGCGGTGCTCATGTCCATGATGGGGTGGAAAATCCAGTGACCTTACAGATCTCCAGCGTCAGCGAATTGGTCCAGCGTCTTCGACTTGCAAATGAGGTTCAGGCTCGGCAGCAACGCTTGGCAGATGAGACTCAGCTACGCGACCTTGATTGCGACATCTATCGTTGGAAAGAAAGGAAGCGAATGGAACATGAAAGCGAATTTAGACACCAAGAAGACGAACGCCGTCACTGCGATGGGCCTTATTTAAAGTGGAGAGTGTACAATTCGAGCAAGCGAGAGATCGAGCTTGAACGGGCAAAGCGGAGCATATTACTTGTAAAACTCGTCTTCGTCAGAGTCCTTCTCTTAATTTGATGGGCGTGGCGAACGTGATGCTCCCTCTCACTTAGGCTCCGTCAAAATGGAGCAGACCGGTGTGGAAGCTGGTGATCCAACCACTTCTGTTCTTCTGTAAGGTGGGTCTTTTTCCTGAATATCCGACGTCGATAAGATTAGATCAGCAGGTGTTTTTTTTCTGAATATCCGACGTCGATAAGATTAGATCAGCAGGTTCTTAGCTCATATTGAGAGATGGTCTCACATGTGCTTTCCTCAAAGACAAATTAAGGTCCTTTCAGGCCCATCTGCAGCTGCATCTTACTTCTCCTTCGCATTCAACCTGTGACGGTGCGTCCGACGATGATATTGTGATTTTGCTGAGGTGTCGAGTATTGTGCAATGTGTACTGTACTTGCGTGCGTAATGTCTCACATATCCTTTGAGAACAAACAATAGAAGTGCAAAAAAATGCTCGCGTTGCGCAGGCAACCAAAAGAATCGAGTTCTGATGATAGACTACTACATCAATACAGACCGGAAAGGAGACCACTCTTCTGGGCGCTTAAGATGGAAACCTTGAACATTGTTGTGAGGAGCAAATTTTGTTAGTAGCACATCCACAAGAGAAAGTCTCATGTCGACAGTCGCTCCTGTCCACAGCAGTGCCTAGATCTTCTTGAAACTATTCCAGATCTTCTTGAAACTATCCCAGATCTTCTTGAAACTATCCCAGGCTAGCACACCGTTCCGGTTCTCTATAGATAAAAAGGCTTTATTGCTTAATTGTGAAACCGCCAATTTGATCCATGTTGTGCACGCATACGTCCAGTAAGGAATCCAGCGCGGATCTAGTCCTTCTTCTGGCCCTTGTTGATCTAGACCATCTGGTATGGCGGACCCTATGTCACGTCTCTTCTCCGGGATTAAATTCTCTCCCGAGGCCACATCCTCAAAGCTCAGGTCAAGCTATGCATTCTGATCCCAGACCCTGTGTCACGTCTCTTCTCCGGGATTAAATTCTCTCCCGGGGCTACATCCTCAAAGCTCAGGTCAAGCTATGCGTTCTGATCCATTATTTTCCTGGCAAGATAACCAACGCCAGAAGTGGCATAGTCAACATTTTGGTGCTTTGTCCGGGATTCGTTGCGAGCGCCCATAAATTGACATCTTTCACTGCACCTCAGAACCTTTTTGCAACTCACTGACATTTCCTGATTGTATCGACACATGAAATGGCAGCTGGTGAAAGACCCTACTGCACTGATTTTGCCAGATCAGTGCAGGTCGAGGTCGTTGATAAATAAAAGGGTCCCTTGATGCTACGTGCAACTTGCTCCGAATCTGAGCGTCTCAAGGCTAAGCTGGCTGTCGAGAGCCATTACGAGGTAGGTGATGAATTTGTTGAGTAGCAGCTGCATCTTCTTTCAAGAGTTGGGGAGGAAAGGCTTGAGGGGTTGGTTGCCCTGCTTTGCCTTCTTTCACTGCAGTCAGATGTTGATGAAGTTGCCGTCAACCAATCACAGCGTTGACACTATCTCCTCCTTCCGTTCTTCCGGGCTCAGTAGGCTCAAATGATTGTGTCTACCAGGTCTTGTGCAGTTCTCTGTGTTCCGATGCTGTCATGCCCTTCTATTCATTTGACTTGTCTCGTTTGCGCTTTCCCAAGAAGTGATGAAGTTGATGCCCGGGTCGGACCAAAGCATTAGAGGAAGACCAGCAATGACCTTCTAACAATTCGGAAGAAGGGCCTTTTCGGAAAAAAAAATCAAGGCTGCATCCTCAGAGGTGACGACCAGCAGGGATTCTTGATCGGCAGATAATAAGTCGCTGTCAAATGTTCCTGACTGCCTTTCAGCGGGTCTAGAATATTTGTCTCGTCGCCAATGGCTCTGAGAAGAAATGGGCATCAAAGGCGCGAGAAGTATATGGCACTCGAGATAACGTAGCAACTTGCATTATCGTCGGTGTCAAGCGTCTTCGCAGAAACCTGGTGGATTAGCTCATCAAACGGTCGAAGTTGCGCAACGACGACTCGTCCAGGAGACGGTAGATCCGGTGCACGAGAACAAGACGTGCTCGTCTTTTGAACCATACGAATGCAGGAAGGTGAGGCTCCTGAGCTGGTCAAGAACCGAGATGAATGTGCGCATGAACGCGGGCACTCCCATCTTTTCAAGACACCTGACGTCTATCGGGCTCATGGGACGTTAAAAAGGATGAATCATGTCAAAGTGCGAATTGAGTTCATTCTCATCCTTGCGCACCATCCGCAGAGTGCTTCTTGTAGCGTAGAGGAGACAACATCCGCTGATCATGTGTAGACCTCGAAAGTTGGTGGCAGGAGAGTGCATACCTCGTTAGAGCTTGCGGGTATTGTTTCAGTCAAAGATCTCACACACCACCTGTCTATTCCACCGCTTATCGAATTAAATGAAGATGACGCGAGAAAACCCGTTAAGCTCCCGGACGACGCTCATGGCCACCTCGCGAAAGCGCTGGAATTTGTTCAGAGCAGTGAAATGCTCGTTGACTTGGCCGAGAGCACCCAACACGTCGAGCATCTCCTCACCAGCCTCATCAACATTCGACTGTAATTTTCTCGCGCGATTGGGTCTTGATATCCGTCCACTCTTCCCGACCGTCATACGGTACCGCTTTCTCCCATCTTGGTAATCGACCAGCCCCGTAGAGCGGCGGACGATACGTTTGCCCCAGGAACTCACCTTGTCGTGCATCAGCTCGAATTCTAGCACGATTGTCGATCTTAGTGTATTTTTTCCCTCATCATCGTGCCCATGCTTGGGAGCGACCGATGAGCAGCAACCGCCAGCTTCCAACGCTTTTGTGTCGAAGCACCACCATGACTGAAACCGCCAACTTGAAAGATGTTGGGAGCAGACTCCCTCAATTCTTTTGAGCACGTCAATGTAGTCCCCGAGGATGTCCGCCTAGTTTCTTTGTGACAGTCCAGGAAGGACTTTAAAAGACTAAAAGAAAGACAGAGGTGAATGACAGGCCGAAAGTCTCGCTAGTATTCTGAGAAACTAAAGATAGTGAGCAACTGGGTTGCAGACTCACTCCTTGCTGCTCGGTAAGTTACGGGCGAAGTAAAGCTTCTCATGCCTCTGTCGGAAACACTTTCCACTGGCTGTAGATCTTCAGTGAGGCTTCTCATCTCAATTCGAGCAAGTGCTTCGTTCAAATTCGGATCTCGAAGATGACAGTGAATTCAATGCTCTAAGAAGAAAAATGGCCATTCGAGAGCGGGGCATCAGATTATATAGGACCGTTTGCAAACAGGCAAATCTCACGGATCCTACTGTGGCGCTACAAAATCAGAAGGTTATCTTTCTAGCTTTTGTGCGAAACGAGGCTTTTGTGCGACACGAGTGCATAGCCGCACGAGACGTAGTGTGTTGATTGATTCGGGCACTACCGCAAACAGGTACAAAGCAGGGAAAAGGAGACTTCGGCGCCTGTTTTTCAGTGAGCGGCGAGCAAAGCAAAAAAGTGCAGGCTTATAATGTACCCACCAGCTCCAGCTCTGTACGAGCGAAGGAAAGCGCGTCAGAACAAATCGTATTTGCCATGTCCAGCTTACTGCGGGCAAGACCCCGGCTAGGGCAACGATAGCTGAAGCCAAACACACGTGTGTCGTCGTGGGGCGGCAAAGTAGATAGATGAATTCGATGACATCTGTGGCTGCTCCGTGTCCATATGCCCCCAACAATATCATGGACATGCCAAGCCTACCGTACGCCGGATAGTCAGGGAGCAGATAGAGACACTGGGTAACATATAATGTCACGACTGATGCCAGAACGTGGTATGTTTGGACTTTTGGTTGTAGCGTTCGAACAGATAGTTCGAAGACGTAAAGACTGGCCAACGATAGGCTCAGTCTGTTAGCCGCCTTGACGCCACTTCGTTCCAGGAAAGATTCATCCTGCTCTGAGCCGGCTTGCCATTGGAACAAACCCTTCTTGACTATATCGAAGCAATGGACAATCTTGTAGAGCGCTAAAGGCTGTTTGTACGAGCGTCAATGTCGACCTTCAAATACATTCGAGAACAATTTACCAAAGCTGTACACGCAACAGACTGCTGAGAAGTTGTGAGCCTCTTAAAGGCCGGATCGGAAGAGAGGATTTTCTTGCAAGTGTTTGATATGGCAATTAGCACCATTTGGGAGCCTAGCACCCATGTACGATCATAGAAGTGGCCGCTCTCTTGCTGGAAGGTACACTCGCCCTTTTCTCGAGCTTCTCTTGTGACGGAAGGTCGTCTTTGTCTTCCGATCGATTGATAGCAGGGCTCGTTGTTGTCCGAGAGCGAATTTGAGGCAAGGCCCATTTGGCCGCTTGGTCTCTCAGAGGTCTGATCATCCTACTCAAGGGTGTTTAGCTCGAGGGGCGGCAATACGTTCAGGGAGGAAAGGAGGGATGTTGTAGTGCCAGATTGCACTCTTATATCTCCTTTCGAAGGTTCTTGCTCGCTTTCCGGCTAGAAAACAACAAACGGTCTAGAACCCTGCACGGTCATGCCTCTTTGTTTATCTCATCGCCCTTCGTCTTATCATATTGTCGCCTGACACATTCAGTGTTAAATTATTGCGGCATACTGTCGCCTTAACACAGACAAATTCGTTTGGTCCGTCGAAGACTGATGTAAGCGCGTGAGAAAGGAGGGCCGTATATAAATGGAACGATCGCTCATTTGGCCCAATTTGTGCCGTACGACATGCTCTTTCTTGCCCTTGTCAACTTCGCATGCTTTGTCCTGGCAGCCTCGGTGGCATTCGAGGCCAAACAAGCGAACGGACGGACCTACGCGTCCATCTTCATTTTCATCGTTGCCCTCGTGCTCTTAGGTTGCGCCTCCGTGACTCAAGAACGGTTCTTCTCTCTCACAGTGACGCTCTCAGCGCTTTATTCGAATTTCTTTTCATCGTCAGTGTGTACCACACGAAGAGTAATATTCATTGTCATCGGTGCCGGTGAGGTACCGGTCAGGCTTGTCAGTAAAGAACTAAATACCTACGTTCGACACACTTTCTGCTCAGCCTACATCCTCGATTTTCTCGGCGTCGCGATTACAGAGTGTAGGTCGCTGCAATCATGGACTTCAGTCGCTTTGATCGTTGCACTATACTGACCAGCGGCATTTTCTGAAGAGCTACAGCTCGAAGGAAGCCCTTACGCTACCCAATACGCAGATTATTAAAGAAGTATTGGCATATTCTTGCCGCCTGAACGCACCTCGAAAATCTAAAATTATGTGCAATAGTTCTTGCGCCGCGGAACATTCTCTGAAGCCAGCAGCCAGTAGTGAGGGCCAGAGGAGACTGCAATTGCTGCACATACACCGCATCGCAAGAAGTGAGGCAACTGATTACTGACGGCATAGCGATTATTGCTGCTTTAAAGAACTCACATTGGAGCCACGAACGCTAGATAAGAGCCGACGGGTACTATTTCCAGCTTCTCACGGACGTAAATGCGGCATCCCGGTTCTCCTGGATATTAGCGAATAGACTGTACGCTTAGTACTGTATGCTTACAATTATAACAACAAGAACGACAGAATGGGAATTATGAAATATAAACCGATCAAAGACGTGGTGGTGCTGATTCTCCGGATCTGCGGAAGCGCCCCATCTTGCTGCGCACTTCCGCTGGTCTTCGTCGAGTCCGTGCTATTGTCGCCCATATTAAGTCCTTCAGCGACAACGTATAGTAAGCCGCGATCGTAAGATTGTCCTTCAAAGCGCTGACTGCAATAATCTGTGACGCTGTGTGGGCCAAAAGCTACATCGTGCCTGACGTCTCGCCATCCGATACCGTTCCAGTAGACTATTTGCTTCTGGTCACAGATAGTCGCATATTTCGTGCCAGCATAGTCGGTGGCAGCACCAGAATTGCCCAAAGCCTGCACAACGTCAGTATAGCAAGTGCAATTGCTCAGTCTCGTTGGTGCAAGGGTCTTCGCGGTATTGGGATAGTAACCTTCACCAGAATCATAACCAGGACAGTCGCCATCCTCGAAAATGCCGACACCACTTGGGATCGGCGCTTCAAATATCGCTTGTGAAACTGAGGGCCATTCGATGAGCAGAAGGTGGCTCTTGACGGACGGCGCCTCGCTGTCGATAAGCTCCAAGCCACTTGCGCATGCCATAGTGTCGTATTCTGAGCTTGTGTAGCTATCGTCAAATGTTTCGCCGCCCAATGATCCTCCGGTCGTGTTCATGACTTGAGCACCGTCCCACCAAGCATCGTAGTTGTTTGAGCAGCTAGTCACTATGGTGTCGTTGGCCTTGGGTTTCTTGAAAGACAACGGATCATCGCCTGAATAAAAAGTTACATGTGCGAACTGGCAATAGCAGCCCTTCGTGAGATCAGAGTGTAGGAGGACTCCCGACTGTATTCCGATCGGCGTGCCATCATTGAATGTGTATCGAGCGTCCTCTTTCGTGCATTGCTGCGTACCGCGAGCACAAACGTTTTGACCAGGGTCAAAACACGATTTGGCACGAGTGGCAAGGGCAAGAGCGACGAACGTTGATGCAAAGCTGATCCTCAGCATTCTCGGCAGGTGGCAAAAATTGTGTAACAGTCTGGTCCAACGACATTTTGTGTCTCTTTAAATAGCAAGCACCGCCGAAGATGAGTATGTTGGATTGTGGCATCGGCAAACTCTATGCAGGATCGACCATGATTTTGAGGCTGGTACCATCTGACATTTTCGAAAAGCCTTATCTATAAAGTTTCGTGCGAATGAAGGGCCCAGGCCCAGCCTTTCGCAAAGCCACACAATTACGCTCGTCTTGCGCTAGCGCTCTCTTAGTCTCTTTTCAAGGTCAGCGCGCTGAAAGGTGACTGAAATTCTATACCCTCACAAGATTTCAGACAAGCCATGAAATCTTTTCGCTGGTAAGGCGATAATCACAACGCAGGCGAGGCAATGGTGCGAATCCAGGCTTTTCTTTTTCGGGCAATGGTACGAATCTAGGCTTTTTTTTCGGCTTTCATAGAACCTGAGGCCAATGACGGAAATTAGTCGCACCCGAAAAATCTGCACGGATCTTTCAGTGAGGTCTGGCTTCTCAAATTACGTATACTTTCCCCGCATTTCTCAATTCTGTGCCGCTTCATCTCAAGCGCTCTATTCTTTTTTCCCCGACAGCTCTTTAAATCAGTTGCTGCACTCAACGAAGCCACAAACGAGCTCATCCGTCGGATCACCTGCTCTTCAAGCAAGTCCTTTCACATTTTTCAGAGAGCTTTCTCCTCTGCTTCACTGCCTTTGGTTCTGACATTATGCCTTCAAGACGTCAAGACGTCGGAGCGCTACTCGGAGGCAGACATTTCCACTCTTCTACTGCTCTAAAGGCTGTTGTCACTGTTTTGACCAAATTTTTTGTTGCTTCCTGCACTTTTGACTTCTTCTTTGTTGGTAATCCTTGCAGAACTAAAAGAAAAAATTTGTCGAGGATGGCGTAGTGGATTGCTGAAGTAACCAGCGTTTTCTCAAGCGATTCTGATGTTGAAAAATGAAGGCGAATCGCATGAAACCGGGCTCAGACCAGCTAGAATGATGTCTTCTCTCTTGACTATGGCTTTCTTCACGGATAATACTCTCAGCGAGGCCCGTTGCCGTGCTGGTCCTTCGGCTAGGTGAAGTATGGGTCGCGTCATGCTAGCATAAGCGAAGAAGCGACCGCTCTGATTAGTGCTTAAAAAATATTGAAAGACGCATTCACTATTGCGATATGTTTCATTCAGCACCGTCACGTTGTGTCTCTGAGTCTTTCACCTTCCTGCGAACACCAAATAGTTTCTTCACTTTCTTGACAGCTCTTCAGCATGATATCGTTCATTGAAGGCCTCGTGTCGAAAGATGTGTCGAAAGATGAGCGGTTCGAAATAGACTGAGCTTTCCTGGCTTCTGTAATACTTTTTCCGAGGATGAGTACCACAATGCATATTGTCACAGGTTTCCATCTAATATTTCAAAGGAGCTGATTACATTTCTGCTTTGTTCCCGAGAGGTCGTTTTCCACAGAACTTTGTGCGGCTTTGCCCTTCCTTCGCTTTGTCTTGAATATAAAGAAGAGGCAGTCCAGCTCTGAAGTGCTCGGCACGTAAACTTTTTACAAGCACGAAGACTGCTGTGATCATATGTATCTCCCCTCTCGAGGCCGATCCTCTGAATGTGGAAGTTCTAAATGACTTTCAAATTACCTTCTGTCAATGATTCCAAGAGTTGCCTTTGTTTGGTGCGAAACATTATGGAGTCGTTGATCGACTGTGATCCGGAGACACCTTGTCTTTGAAAAGAAAAAAGCTTTTGAGAATCTGCCTTTCACAGAAAGAGGTGCTTTCCTTTGCTATTCGAATCTTTCGAATGTCAAAGAAAGCTGCCGAGTCGAATGTCTAGACTTATTGCTACCGCGCTTCGTCTGAGGTTTGTCTCTTTGTTTCTTGCCTGCCGATGCAATTCATTTTGGAGAGCAAGTATCGCGCTACTCGTACTGAAGAATAGTAAGGTTTTGTAGCAGCAACCATAGATCGAGATGCACACGCGTGATAGCATTATTGAGGCCTCTTGAGAGCACCAGCATAGCTGATGCAAGCAAATGCAGCTTGTCAGACGTAGCTAGGCCTGTTTCTTTTCAAAGTCCTGCAAACTTCACTGATATGGATTGTGTATTAGGGAAGCCATTTTCTATGTCCGATTGTCATAGGTGCACACGAGTCTTACAAGCATTGACGAGGAAATGAGGTGCTATTCTTTCCGTTGTTTCGTTATCTTGGTAGAGTTCTGCAAACAAATTTTCTCCCTCAGAACAAATAATCGTCTTTTTGTGCAAAGCATGTAAACCACATGGAGTCCGTTCTCAATTTCAGAAATAGCGTCTCACATCTTCGCGGCACGTTTTCAGCGACGCTTCTAGTTTGCCGGCCTCAACGCAAATGACGAGTAAGAAGTGAGTTAGGAATCAAGACCGAAACTTGAAAGAGACGAAGGCGTCGAATAAGGGAAAGAGGACACCGAAAAAGGAAAGGGAATACTGCGCAAGAAACTCCAATCTCTGCGACCTGTATATAGAACAAGAAGGGCAATGCGCTAGTCAATCAGTCCTTCACAATCTGGAAGATAGATGGTGATTTGTGACAATGATGAGGCTAAACACAATAATGAATCGCGCACAGGCACGAGTTCCTGTAGACCGTCATCAACCACCAGGACGACCTCCTCGTCTGAATGAAGGGCAGCATCGTTTCTTAGATACATCTCCAGAGTATCTTCCAGGGCCGCGACCTCAGCAGCAGATGGGCGATTGAATCGCCTCCAATCGGACTGAAGGACTTCTTCCAGCACAAGAGCGTTTCGCACAACGCTCTCGGGGGCTCCGATCATGTCGGCGATCACAACTGATTTTGGATACGCCTTCATCTCCTGCAATGTCGATCGAAGCGCATGAATCGCTTTTATCTGCCGAATGGTGGACGAGAGGATTTTATAGTCGCGAAGAATGTCGCTAATCTTGGTCATGTCCAGAAGTTTGACATTGCGGCCTCTCTTCGCCCGCTCAAGCCTCGCTTTCGCAAGATAGCCCATGAGTTGTGGTCCTTGCTTCGTTTCGACCTGAAAGCGGCTCGGAAACTCGGACCAACATGCTTTTCTCTGCAGGATCATATGAAGGCGCTGCGCCAAATGTGCTTGTTGACGACGGAAGTTGGTCGGTAGCAGTTCGATCAAGTACGTAGTATAAAGCCGAGTAAACTCATCAGGAAACCTAAGGATGTCTCTCGATTTCATACTTTTCACGAAGCGTGATTTCGCTTTCTGCCAAACCTTCTTGTGCTGCTGGAAAGTCTTGTTCTGATCTTGTCCCATCGCTGTAATGGCCAACATGGGATGAGCGTCCTCCTTTCATCTCTGGTAACGAGTCAAAGCTAGCAATCTGCGAAAGTAGACTTCTTAAAGATGCCGACTCGTACTTTTCTCCAGCGATGGAGGCTGCCAGTCTCCGGAGTGCAGCCTTCCAGAGCTTTGGGTACAGAGCTGCCCTCATTCCCCTTCGCAAGAGGATCGCTAGACTCGACTGAACCTCGACTGCCTTCGAATGAGCTCCTGCTGTGTACTCTGTCGACCTGCTGCGTAGACGATGCAGTGCCCAACTGTGTGGCTAGTTAAGGAGGTGATGAAGCGTGTGAGCTCACATACATTGAAAATAGTGACGGCAAAAGGAAGTTGGGTTGCCCACATGAGCGACCAGGCTTAGACGCCGAGGTAGTCGATCTGGCTCAGGCCATGGGAGTCGACGACGACGTCGCACTGGATGTTGATGACCAAGTCGATGAGATGGGTGACGCTGACGATCGTAAGTGGCTAGACGAAAAAGATGGGAAAGACGATGGCGACCAGTGGAGAAGCCAGGTGGACCTCGTTGAGGCCGTATGGGTCGTGCGTGCGGTGTTTCATGTCGACGATGTGCACGACGGCCGGCATGAGACTGTGCGCTGGCATGTCAGCGTTCATAGATATAGCTTGATCCTTCTCACTTCAACTCACTTAATGACACAAATAACACAATCCTGCGGAGGTACTGTGCAATCATCTGCCAGTCCCTTGAATCGAGCGATGAGGCCGTCTTCACAAACGGCAGGCGCCTCCTAATACCGTAATACATGCTCCTGAAAGGTCGCAATTGATACCACCATGACCTCTCGCTGCAAGGCAGATCGCCGGCATTTCGTGAAGCCCCGGACTTACCGAATGATTCTGTCGCGCCAGCCTCGGCTTGGGGCCAAAGACGCTCCTCCGTTGCTGTAGCCCTTGCGCAACAAAGCCGGAGCGATGAACCTTCATCGACCGGATCTTTCCCCCGGGTTCATAGTCACGATTCTCCAACCCCTTCTCTAATTGTTGTGAAAAAGATGCAAGCCATCCCACCTTCCGGCTGTCAAGCGCCATCGGAACTTGGAAGAGCAGATAGGTACACTGTGTAGTCGGTGGGGTCGAATTTAAGGATTCTATTCAGAAAGCTAATAAAAAGGGGGGGGGGCGCATTAGAAACCAAACTCGAAGTGCTCGTCCTGGCATGATCTCGGTCAACATCTGCTTCACAATGGACATGTGAAGATATTACCTATGATCATGAGAGCCCATCTTAGATTTATTCCGTATTGCCCAGATGAAGGGACCGAATTTAGAGAAGTTGCTGACAAAAGGTTCCTCTATCGACTTTGCGCACAATGCAGGCCCGATTAGTCACCGCGCCACAACGCTCCCGGGGTCATGCCCGGCCGCTCTGGCCATTTTTTCCACCAGTCGTCGCGCCAGCAACTCTGGCCCTTGTGGAGTGAACATTGCTTCCACATAGCCCATGTTCACCTCGATTTGATCGCGAAAGGTCCAGATGTGAGGCTGGCTCACCGAACCTCCGCAGCGCATGGCGATCTGGCAATCCTGTACAACGAACGTATGGTCGCCATTCTGCCCACCGTGGCCAGTACCATAGGATCGCTTGAGGTAAGCCTCTACGATGCCAACGCTGTTGAGCCCAATGCCAGTCTTAACGGGGTTTCGCTCTGACCGCTTGCCATCGCGGCTGCCTCCTGGTTGTAGGCATGCCAGAATCCGTGGGCGCCTTTGCCTGCGAAGCAAGAGATCTGCTTGAGCCGATCCGTGAAGAACTCTTTGAGCTGCTCGGCGATGAACCAAAGGCAATGCTCTACTTCCATTCTTCCTTCGGCTATCATGCAGTCAAATAAGCCCGTAGACGCGATAAGCAAGCCCGTCTCAGCGCTTGATGCTGTTCCCTTAAGGCCCTCCTCCTCTGCCACCCATCTGCGCAGGTTGAAGGTGACCACCATGACCGCATCGTCATGGCCCATGGAGATTTCCTCTTCCGTGCGAAAGAGCTCCAGAGTTGCCAAAATGAGACATGCTCCAATGCCGTAGGTGGCTGTCAAGCCTCTCTCCTTGCATGCTCGAAGGAAGTCTTTGCTGGTCTCCTTGTCAAGCCTGAACCGATGCGACTTTGTGGGCAATGCGTCTCTGGGCCAAGGCTTCATTTTGCCGGCAAATGACTCGTTGAGGGGCAAGCCCACTTTGGACTTGAGAGCAGAAAGAATGCGCGTGAGCAGTAGTCCCCATTTGGCATCAAGCAACGCACCTCAATCAGCCGCTTGCCAAGGTCTCCATAAGGCTCGCCTGAATTGTAGTCGTCTTCCGTCATGCCCACGGCGTCTAGAGCATGGCTTCTGAGTCGCCTTAGAGGGCTTTGCATGTCAACGCTAGGCGCTACGTGATCGTTATCGAGCGTACCATGGCCTTTTAAAGCAAGTCTTTCCAGAAAGCGATCGAGCACGGAGAGCAGGCCAGTTCCTTAAGTGCGAGTGTTTAGCGCATGAATGCATTCAGACAAAATGCTTTACACTCACCATCGAAGAGGACATGATTTGATCTGATCAGAATCGAAAGAAGATGGGCACTGGTTGACATGCTGACGATTAACTTGATCATGTACGAATCAGGCTCATTGACGCGACCTTATGGCAAGGCGGTGCTCTGCTGGATTCTAAGATCTTCGATTGATTGATCTTCCCTTTCCACCTCCAGCGTCTGTTCCAGCCAATCTTTTTTGGCCCTGTCGGAAAGAGGCGTGAACTGCAGCCTGATGCTATCCTTGTCATCATGTCTGACCAATGTGCAAGCCAGATCAGGAAGCTCGGCGAAGACATCCAGCCAAGCATTTGAAATCTTTCTCTCCAGTCCCTGGCCTTGCATCGATGCGTCATTCAACCCAATTTGAAGGCCTACGCTAGGCTCAGCAAGGCCAAAGGCATGCTCGTTGAAAGAGGCCAGAACAGACTCAAAGCCAAAGATTGTGCGCTCAAAGACTTGCCGTTCATGACTGGCCGTATCGACCGCTTGCCAGGGTGACAGCTTTGACCCCATGTCTGAATATTTTGTCCGCTTTCGTCGAGGGTCGGCTTGTGGCTTTCGTCAGAAGCTTCGGATTAATATGGTGTTGGGATATGATGTACGGCTGGACCCATCTAATTACATTTTTATGACAAGCACTGAGCACGACATGCGAACTCTGCTGTGTGCAGAAGCTAGACGAATGACGATATCATTTGAGATAACCTCGTGGTATGTGCGCGCTGGCAGTCGCCACCCAGAGCCGACCACGTGGCTTATTAATGCATGCTCGACGACCCTAAGTTGAGGAAATTCATCATACCAGCTTGCGAGGCTCTTTCGATCCGCATCCAAGATGGGATGGTTCACACGAAATTGAGCGAATAAAAGTGCTACTAATGCACTCATTGTTAGTCGAGTGGATGATATGTTTCTTTTCCTTCTGTAGGGTTGTTCTCAATGTTCTTAATTCAGTTATCATTATTCTTATGTACTTAGCGTAGATCCATTTGATCCATTTGTAAATGAAACAGTGATTACCATTGTTCGATATTTCTTTTACTAGCAGCCGTAGGAAAAAGTGCACAACTTGGGCTGCATACTTGGCTTCCAGATGCCATGGAAGGTTGTATATATACTGGCGCAATCAAAGCATTTATATTCCTGATAGTCATGCTTATAATTCAATACCTTTACCACTCTCTCTAATGCTCGAACCACTTTCTATGACTGCTACTACTTCCGTGGGCGGATAAACATCACGTGATGTGCATCATGGTGCAGCTCGGAACCTCGCGGAAGGGTTTCATATGGTGAAGCCACTGGCGGCCGGAGCCCACGCGCCATTGTTCTTGGCGTTGGCGGGAGCGGGCTCGCCCTCCTTCCTCCCACCTTCACCATACAAGCCGTAAGTAGACGACCACGAAATGACCACCGAGTGTGTTACGGCCGAAGACAACTCGGTCCTGGCAGCTGCTGACAGGGTAAGTGAAATCGGTGAACAATCTCACAGTGACGGTGGACTCACTCAAGCCTGCAGCTTCTGCCTGTGGTGATTTTCTCCATCGTCCTAGCTTTCTTGCCATATTCGACACGGCAATTGTTTCTGCAATGGCGTGGCGTCCAAGCTCTTGATGCCCAGGGCGTACCAAAAAAGATGAAGATGTCAGGCTCTGCCGCTGCTAAGACCATCAGGTTCAGCCTTGGTCTCCTCGTCGGTCAGGTTCTCGTGTTCGCGACCACCAAGCTCGACAATGGCCAGCGACCTATTTTGAGCGTAATCCGCCAAGTACTGGTACTTGTGTCGCCTGCTTTGTTGTTGTTTTTCAATGCCTTCTCGCTGGCGATGTTCTTGGGCCGCATCACGAAGTGCTCCGAAACCCTCGTGACTCGAACCGTTGTCGATCTTCAGACCGAGAAAGACAGCGTTCTCAAAGCGACCCTTGCGGTCGGTCTGCGACAAGAATCAAAGTATCGGCATGCTCCAAATTGGCTATGCTACACGGTCGCTGCCTCGCTTTGCATGTCCGTCGTCATCTCCTTCTCGACCGGCAACGAGCCTGAGACAGTGCTTGCATGCGCGCTCTTGTCTGCACTTGGCGCGGGATCATGGTCAACTTTCGTGCTACCCAGCACCTACGGCGTCAGCTCTTCCACGGGCCAGCTTTCCCTGCGCAACAGATTGTACATGGCAAGTCTCCTCCTCGTCAACGGTCTCATTTACCTCTTCGATGAAGTCAAGGCCACCGTTGTTGACCGACAGAGCGCCTTCAAGGAGCGCAAGCCTGGTCAAGACTTTTTCGATGCCCTCCTATCGGACAAGACGCTATTCCAATTCATGGCGCTGGCTCAGATCCTGATCTGGACCAGTGCGGCTGCTATCTCTGTCGAAATCTGCGCCTTTGTCTATCGCTTTGAAATCTCGCGCTTGAACAACGCCGACAGCGAAGGGGCAGGAGAATCGGTTTCCGATAGCGAACTCTTGAAGCAGGCAATTGCCGACACAGAAGCAGCGCAAGGCGATTTGATTCGGAGAACAGACATCCGCTTCTGGTACGATGCTACCCCAGTCTCTTTATCTTCTCCGTCTCTCTCCGTCGCCAAGCCTTCACCCTCCGAGATGCCCGTTCATCGAGCGACAACGTGCTCCGTCATCCTCGTCTATCTGCTCTTCCTATTTGAGCACCTTTTCTACCTCTCGCCACTGCTGCGCAAAAAAAATGCCGTCCTGCATTGGCCTCTGTTCCCGACAGAGGGCCAGATGGTCATGACGCAGTGGTACTTTCCTTCAGCTATTTGCATCTGCCCGGCAGTGTGCATCTGCGTCGCTCTAGGCGCCAGCGCTTGGTACTGTGGTGGCATGCGAGGTGTTCGCCAGCTTTGGGGATACAAGGAGCAGTGGAACATCATCACGCCCGTCGAAGTTTTGAAGCTAGGTTGCCCTGCGACGACAGCTTCGAACGAGACAAAGGAAAGAATGAAAGATGAAAAGCCTCTCCAGCTCTCAGACTCAGGTGGCCTGCATCACGCAGACGAGCGCAAAGACGTGGAAGAAGCGGCAGCTCTCCTCCGAGACTTTTTAAAACTCCGATCTCATTGATAAGCTCAGACATCTCTTCTCACATCTTTGGCTTGGCTCACGATGGAAACAAGTAACATCAATGATTCCTTAATGAAAATTGGGTAGATGTCTACTTCTAACAACATCGGCATGTTGCTATACATTTTCTCTTCATGGATCAAGTAAATAGCTTCTAAAGGGAGCAGAATCTTCAGCATTCCATCTTACTAAAAAGGTTCCTGGGATCAGAGCAATGCGTGGGGAGAGGCAGTACAATGTCGATACTAGCAACAAGGCCAATGAACACATCTCTGCGGCAATCGACGCGTGAGTAAGAGGAAGGTCTGTGTGGTGGCAGATGATTGCCTGACATCGATTCTTTCTGATTCTATCTTAAGCTTCTTTGGTGCAGCAGACCCAAAACAACGCAGCGGAAAGGTTGCCGAAGGCTTCAAGAAACTTTTCCAATTGTCCAGGGCGCTCTGGGAGCTATAATGGGTGTAGGATCGGTGGGAGAGCACGAAGGTAATGGAAGTACACTCATTTTGACTACTATTGATCAATGGCTCATACACTTCTAAATCCTTGATGCCTCGAAGAAGTGGTTTGTTTACATGCAGAACAATGCGGTTGTTCGCATCGACGAAAAGCTCTGGCGCTGGAAATTCTCGCAGGACGGTTTCTACACATCTGGTCGAAACGCGTTGGCATGTCAGTTACAGCTTTCTTTCTGGTGTGTGCCTTGATCACAGGGGCTATAACATTTTGGTTCGCGAAGAGGTTCAGTGCCTGATACCATAAGGTGGTGTCAGCCAAAAGATGGTGACCCTCTTTTCACAGGTAATTCACTGTGCTGCTGAGCTCTCGCGCAGATTTGACGTCTATAAGCTTTTGAATCGCGATTACCACGCGCATCTACACACTTTCGTGTTGCAAGGAAGGCGCATTTGTCGGCGCGAGATACCTTGCGGCGAGAGCAAATACAGAAATGTTGACCGCAGAAGAATCTAGCGAGTTGCACGGAAGAGACGCACGTATAAGATGACCACGCATGTAATCGTTCGCTTTTTTCCGTAGGTACAAAGGGTCAGCACTCTTTCTGTTTTGCAATAACCTGGAAACGGATAGGTCGAGTTTACACGTGCAGAGTTCTTTTAAGTCTGTGTGCTAGAAAAGCTTAAACCTTAGTGAGCCATTCCTTTTGCTGAATCTCATTTAGTGGGCGCGTGAAAGACGCGCCTGATCATGAATCCAAAAATGAACACCAGTCCTTAGGACCAAGTCAGTTCGTACAGTCAATCACTCGCGCTGGCGGCGACCGTGTCATCAATGGGAAAGCCGCGCAGGACGTACAGCTGCCTTCGCTGTCAGAAGGACAAGGCAAAGGTGAGAAGCCTAGGTCGGCGGCACGCGTAGTCGCTTACGATGTGAATAGTGCGATCGCAAGCTGCCTTGTGGAAGGTGCCAGCGGAAGCGAACAGGAGATGAATGCACGTATTCATCGCACTTGACTCTCCAGCACGACCAGACAAGTCAAAAAGGAGCTAGTGGTAGGAGAGATGATGTGCTGCGGTCCAAACGTGGTGCCATCGGCGAGAAAAGTGTGCCGACAGCCAGCTCTATAAGCGAAAGGGCCACGGTTGGACAGACCGCGAGGCTTATGACCCTTGGTCATCCTCGCAGGAGGGAAAAAATGGCGGTTCGTCAAGGATATGGCGGTAGAGATGCCCGTGAATGGTCACCTGATCCGTTCCATACTGAGGAGCTTGAACCTATGGTTTTGCTCAACATGCCAACGTCCCAGTCAGGTGTGCTGACCCTCCCGAGTATAGCAGATCCTAGTCGACGGACAGGAGGTGATGCTCGTTTGATAGGACATTTGCGTCTCCCATTTGTCCCCACAAAGCTGGCTTGGCACTTTCTCGAAGACTTTCTCGATCTCATCCATCCAATGCTGCCCATCCTGCGACCCTACCGTCTCCGATCGGCTCTGGTCGAGTACTGTGGAGCCTCAAGAGGTGATATCAAGATTTCCAAAGCGGATCTTGTCTATATTCTAGTCGTACTGGCGGTCGGTGCAGGTGCGCACGCCTCCGCGCTGCAAGGCCCGGAAAGCTCGTCACGACGCGAAGCCGAAGCTCGAGCTTATGAAGTGCGTCTCTCAAGTGCGACCGCAGATCATCACGAAAGCCAAATGTGGCGTCAATCTTCACTGTGCACCGAAAAGGCGGCAGATTTGTACACCGTTGCCAGATTTCTGGTCGTCGATCTCGAGAATGAGGAACCTTGCATTGAGGCGGTCCGCTGCTACCGATTATTGGCCTCTTACAACCTCAGTCAAAATCTTTGGCGTGAGTATAGCAAATGCATTTGGTCAATTTGTGCTCACCCCAGGTGCAGTCGCCTTTTCTTTTGGCCTCAAAGCAATCATGATATCCATGGCCCTCAAATTGCACCTTATTTCGCCTACGGCGACAGGTCTTGAAGGCGAAGCGCGGGATCTTTGGGTCTCTTGTGCTACGATCGACAAGTTGAGTCTCTTCGGAGACCTTGCCATTCTGTGCACTGACAACTGAGCAGCAATATCTTTCGCATCAAGAAGCTGCTTCATGATCGCCCTTTGGCAGACGATTCAGAGGTCAAGATTGTACAAACGAGGAAGCCATACTTGGCCCATTCTCTTCGCATGGATGCCATAGCGGCCAAGATAGTAGAACTGCCTCCGATGGACGCCTCAATCTGGAGCGGGGCAGATATACGGGAAGCCGGGCTCTTGAGAGCTCAGATCGACCGCGTAGAGGCCAGACTCAGTCACGCACGAAGCGAGCTCCCGGATGAAGCTCCATATCCGCTCGAATCAAGACAGTTAGACAGTCACAAACAGTCCTCCATCGCTTTGACGGCCCGGTTGATGATGTGCGCCGGTGAGTGGGCGCTTGCGATCGCCACAAAGTCGTGTCTGACTTCTCTTCAAATGAAATTGCCATTCTTTGATTTCTCATACTTCCACAAACGTATAACAGCATGGACCTTCCACCGTCTTTTGCTGCACCGTCCGTTCCTGAGAGTCGGTGTCATGCAGACGGCTGGCACATTTGTGAAGAACGATGTTATTCGCGCGATCCACTGCAGCGCCGAAACCGCCACGATGCTGTGCGATGCTATTCTATGCGTCAGTGCAGTGGAGATCCGTTTTCAAAAGTATGCGATGGGGCTTTGTGTAAACCTACACAAGGCTTGCAGCACTCTTCTCCTCTGCTGTGCTGCTTCCGCCAATGGTCATTGCCGCCCCATGGACCGCCAGATGATGCCTCGCTGGATAGCGACCATGCACAGAGCAACGATTGCTGCAGAAACATTCACGGACAATGGCTCGACTCTTCTTCGTCAACTGCAGGCGCTCTGCGAACACGCAGACGTACTGTCGAAGCTTGTTCACACTGATGAGGTACAACAACACCAACAGCAATCATGCATGCACAATGGCCTCCCCATCACTGGGCACAGTCCGGTGCCGTGGACTATCAGCGCCGATCAGCTCCTCGACTTATTAGGGCAGGATATTGATTGGTGGAACCTGACTCCTTTCGCACCAACCTTATCGACGGCATCGGGCGATCAAGTGCAGCTGCATAATATCAGTTCGTTAGGGTAATTTAATTTTGCCAATCCTTATGGGTCAGCGTCAGACCCTTGCGTTCACGATGACGGGCGCAAGATCGCGCCCGAGACGTACACATTTGCTAGATCCTTCGTATTCAATTGACATTGGCGAAGCATTTCTCGCCGCGATCTCCTCAGCAGAGACCTATTAGATACAATCTTCAGCTTTGAAATTGGCAAACTGGCAAATTTGCTGGGGTAGAGACAGCGGGCAGGCGTATTAGAACGATCGACTTTGGCTTTGTGACAAGCTCGTCAAGCCACAGTCACGATGTAATCTGTGTTGGGCGGATCCCTGAGGCAGATGTAGTCATCGATCTTAGACCCGACGGAGGTGATGCCAAAAATGGAACGACGCTCGTCATTGCCGCGAAACAGCAATGGACAAGACACGGTTTCTGATAGTGACGTCTTCCGTGCGGTTCGGGCAACAATGCGCGACCCTTCTTGATCCTCAAGCATACCTTTCCTTGGTGTCATTTTATAGGATGAGATCTGAACATCACTTGTCACTCACTTGTCTTCGTCCGTCACTTGCTCGTCTTTCCCTTCATTTTTGCCTCCTCGAGCGAATCTTGCACTCTATGCGTCTCCTATCGCAATGTCGACATGGCTGAAAGCCATCGCACCGGAGTTTGCGATCATGACAAAATTGACAGGCGACAGCTACTCTTTTACGTGTTCGAATGGCCGAAGAACTTTCAGCGCGAGTGTCGGAGCGAAATCCAGGATCAGACAACGATGAATGGGGGTCGGCTCGACAGACTCGGTCAGTGATCGATTGGTCGGGTCCAGGAGGAAACTGTGGATGAGGTGCCAAACGATTGCCCAGATCATCCGGAGGGAACGAAGAGTCTGTGCACAAGGGAACCGTGCCAATGCTTGCAGAAGCTCGCGTCATACTCGACGAACACTGATTGAGAGTGTCGGTAACGGAGACATCTCTAGGCGCGACCGAGCTGTTTGGAGAAAAGGCCGCGATTGTTCTGAATCGTGAACTTTCTGCAAGGTGGGTATAGAACAGATTGCGCATCGATCAGGTCCATGTATCGGTCAACTCGATCGAACGGAATTCGTCGAGAGCTGCAGAATATTGTGGTATTGGGTGCCATCCCATGCGCTGGTGGGAAATGAAGCCAATGTGGCCAGTGTGGCTCGCTTGCGTGTGTCGATCCTCCTCAGGGATCACCAGCGTACCAGTAGATCGCTCAGCCCCGGTTGAAGAGCCTCTGGACAATTGTTCGAACACTGCAATGGCGCATACGTCTTCAGCTTTTGGCTGGTATCGAACATATGGCTGCGAAGATTGAAGAGTTGCTACAGGGGCCCCAAGGTGGATTGGATCATCTGTTGGCCAACAATGGCGATTCCCTTCACTTTTGCTGCTTCCAGAGCCAACTGTAGCGAATGGCGCTATTCTAGGATTCATTCTGCCAGTGATGCAGGAAGTCGGTTCAGGATGAAAGAACGATTCGTCTGCTAGACCACCTAGTCGCAGACGATGTCGATTCCGTGAAATCCAGAGAGCGCAATGTACGCACACCAACCTGTGCTTTCAGGGTCCTTTCATTTACTGTTGGCAGCTCCCCGACAAGCTTCGCCTGTGTTTTGCCCTTATCTTTCACTAATGAGGGAGGCTAGTAAGATACAAAGGCTTGTATTTCAAACTATACGCAGCTTGCTTGGTGAATAATACAGCCATGAAAATCCAATACAATGTCAGGTCAGAGCGCCAGGGCTCTTGTAGGTTTCACAGTGGCCCGTTTGAACGCGATTTCGACAGTGGTGGCCTGGCTTGATCATCATTAATGTTTGCCTCTTTGGTGTGTGGCTGCTTCAACTTCAAGAATGCTAAATGGTAAGCGCGCCCAGTACCTTTCAAAAGGGCTCGCGCCACACATGCTTCCACCGGCTTTCGGTTTCTGCATCCCGTCAAGACGTCGGAACAACAGGAAAGCGAGCACAGAGACAGATCTTACTTCTCATCTTCTTGTGGTGTGCTTCTCCGAAGCTGTTTCAGCCCGCAATGCTCATTTTGCGAATTTGATAGCTTCCGTTCAGCAAAGTCCGTGAGATTTTGCTGCGCAGAGAGTGTATGCTCTACCGGTCATTATTTGACGGCTTGTTACGGCCGAAGTGGACTTCGTGGTTGCTGTGTGTCTGGCGCTGGCGCTTGGCCGCCTTGCTTGCACCGAAGCCTATGAATAGCGGCGGGCACCATCGGGAAACAGAGTCATGTCCGCACCATCGACCAGACCGAAAATGGAGCATGAGATTTTGCCGGCAATGCCCGCCGGGAGTAGCACCATCTTCCGCTTCTTTGTGGACAACAGCGAGACTGAAGACGACATCGAGTCGCGACATCTTGGAAGTCATCTACGATGAAAAATCCGATTCATCTGTGTTTCGTGTTCCACCTCATTGGTATACGGACCACGACGAGCATTGGTCGATGCTGGAAGGGCGCATGATCGCAACCATCGATGAAAAGACGTTGAAATGAAGGTCGGCGACGGAGAGTTCGTAGTACCCGCTGGGATTGTGCATTGCTTCCGTTCCATCAAGGGCGTGCCAGCGGTCTTGAAAGAGTGCTCTGCGCCATCTGGGCCCTGGAAAGTGCTATTAGTGAATGAGATGGAAAGAGGGTGAACTGGTGCGCTGTTGACTACCTCTATCACAGTAACATGCGCGATATTTTTCAGCTTGGTGGTCGGCCGACGTTCTGGTTGGCGATGAGAGCGAACTGGGACAGGGCAACCTATCTGCACATGGGAGGACCTCTTCTCCTGGATCAATTGGTACGTCCGCTAAAGTATGAGACAGCCTGGTGTTCTAGTTCTCACACCAGCTCATTCTCAGGTCATGTACGCGCTTGGCCCCCTCGCAAAGATTCTTGCCCCAGGACAACCATACAACAGTTCTTTTAGAGCACCGCAGAGCAGCAAGAAGAGACTCTGAGGGCAGAAATATGGAACCAGCAGAAAGATAAGCTGGTCCGCAACAGGAAGTCTACTTCGAAACCGGGCCACCAGCACACATTCTGCGACAACATATGTGCCTCCGCGAGGGAGGATGTCTGTGGCATCGCACTTTCGACACTTTTTTGTGTTTTGTTTTGTGCTTATGACTCTTTTGTTGGAAGTTATGAAAGGAACAAGCTGCTCATCGCTAATGATCACGGCCCTGCGAAGACACAGCTGCCAAGATTGCCTCGTGGAAGGACACACGTTATGCAGGAGACAAAGATGGCAATTCCTTGCATCTCTCAGAGAGCTAATGATTGCGGGTCGCATTCTCATGACATGCTGTTTGAACTACCCAAAGACAAAGCAGACATCGCAAATAAGAAGGACGACACTGCTGGACCTCTCAAGCAAGCAGAGGTCGACGTCTTGTTGACGACTACCCTGTGAACTTTCTCTTGGCTGTGCTGCAATTCAACTGGTGTCGATACAGACTTAGAACAAAACTCATCTGCTTGAGGAACGGTCTTAATGGCTTGAGGTTCTTGGTCAATGTCTAAAGAAGCGTTGTCATCCCTTTTGCATTGCATCTCAGAGCAGAAGGTTTGTCTTGGCAGCATGGCGGCTAGCAAGTCTCGTCTCTCGATATTAATTAGCCCGCCGACACTGTTCCTTAGGCACAGGCAGCCTTATTGGCGAGAAGCGAGCTGTCACGTTACCAGAACTCCACTGCCAGGGAAATTGCCAGCTGGAATAAGCTTCTCTCGAAGATTGTCACAAGTTGTGTGCGACTACTGACGGTGTAAAATGGCACCACTTTATTTTGCTTAACGCTAATGTTCGAGATTTTAAGAGTTTGTTTGTGTAACATTAGGAACACAGTAATCCAAAAATGAGGATGAAATGCGATATCTGGGCGCCTGAACCACGCGGTCGAGGCAGCGGAAAGGTAGAAGGACGGAACAAAGTTGTATCTCGAATAGCAGCTCAGCGGGATGTGACCATGCGGTCAAGCCAGACCAAAAACGAGGTCACAGAGCACTTAGGGCACAGTTCAGCAATTCAAACATTCGAGCATGCAATTGAGGCAGCCGGCAGCGCACGGGAATAAGTAGGTTTGCAAGAAGACGGTGTCACACACAACTACCCTACTACCAACGACGAAAGCACCAAACATGAATCTTGTCGCCCTTGTCGCTCTCGTCACAGCGGCTGGTGCCGTAGAACAGCTCACAACAATTATGAGCCGTCGTCAGTACAACATGCCTTTGGTCAGGAGCAACTCGAGCGAGGTTCATGCGGGGGACACTCTTACGACGTTTTTGGCGGAGGCTCGCCAAGTTTTCCTTAGGCGAGTGGCCTCATTTCATGCAATCGGACCCAGTACTCGTTTCAATCTTTGTTCAACGCCGGTGAAATCTACCGCAACAATACTAACCGCTTCGTCTTTGGGCAGCCGCGCTTCACTCCTGAGGGTCACTCGTTTTTTGGAGTGGTGGAATGACTGCGTATCTGAATTTCACAGGTCCTGTCATTGAGGGGGACAAAGTTTTTGTCGACCATACCTACAACGCCTCATAGATGACCCGGAGGGATGATAGTGGGGTCTCTTTCTCTGAGACAGCCTCTTGTTCTTCGACATGTATCCAGGGGCATTGGCGAGCGAGAACCCTAGCCACCCTTGGATCCTCAGCACGGATAATACCACAGACGGCTCTGTCCTCCCGGGCTTATATGCAGTCACTGTAGGTTGCTGTCTCAGGCTCGGTCGCTTTGCGCTGAAACATTGCTGAAGCATCTCCGACTAAGAGGTATATGACGTATGGCAACGGCACCGTTTTCAATGCGGGCTACGACAACTTTACCGTGAGCTGTGACAAGAACTGCACTTTGGAGTTTACGAGTACCGACTTGAAGAACGCAACGCAGACGGGCGATGCGACGTCAACGACTTTAGGTATTGGTCTCACTGCGTCTACTTTCGGTCCTGCTCTCACCTTGCTGCTGCTCGTGTAGTTACGTGAAAAGAAGAAGGAAATGCTTCTTGTTGAGCTTACAGTGCTATACCACTCGGCTGTACCATATTCACTGTATCAATACATCATTCGTTTGCAAGCAAGAACAACTTCTCATTGGTGAAAACGACACAACCGGAAGCGAACTGCCTCAAGCTACTAACACACATTGGCAGCGTTGCTGTTTGGGACGCCTATGCTGCCTAAAGCTTTATATAAAGGGTGAGATTTTGTGCTTGCCATTCAGATCTTCATTGACATAAGTCTCGCTCCTTGGTGTGGAGGCTGCTGATCAAAAGCTTTGGCGAGCACCAAACTTTGTCTGCAACCAGGTTCTCTCGAGGGTCATGCGCATTTGGGTAATATTCCTTTCTCCGAGAGAGAATGCTTGACTTGGATTTCTTCCTCCTTGGAGAAGAGCGACCCACGCGCGGCGCACAATCGTCCCTGAAGAGATGAGCCATCTAAGCAGACTGCTCGAACTTCTCGATTTATACGTTACCATGTCAATGCTGTAAGTGGGTTGCATAATATCAAGATTGTGGTGCTTCCATCTTTGCTCTCTTGTTGCTTCACCTTTCCTCTAGCCAGGATCTCACTAAGCGTTCACCAACGGCTTCTCTGAATGGCCTAGAATCCATCGCTCGACACCATGGACTGCGACATAACGATAAATTTAACATTCACCACATGAGAGCCTGTGACGTATTCATGGATAACAGCAATGCCGCCGAGGCCAAGAGCGGGTACGTCGAGCGCAAGCGGCTGCGAAATGATGCGCACGAGATCAGCGTCGTCGATCAATTGGCGCTCTTGACGGGCACTGGCGGCGCCAAATGAGACTAACAACACAATGAGACTAACAACACCCTGCCGGACATTGGTGGCCATATAAGCTGGCCACGCAGCTCATCACTACATCCGCCGCCGGGGTGCTTGGTACGCTCGACGTCCTTCCTTCAGCGGCACGCGAGCCCTGCGAGAGTAATACGGTGTCTTCACACGCTAGAGCTCACCCTGGCTATGAAGACCCCAACCGTTCTTCGTTGTCTTCACCTCTTGTCAATGCCATTGAAGTTGATAAGCTCGAGGCGAGCGAGCTCAGCTTAGCGCGAACAAGCATGACCAAATTCTTCGTTGCGGCGATCATAATTTCCTAGCTTTTCCGGTTATCATTTCTACTTGGACGGAATTAGGACCTGTTATTGAATGACTGAAATTTCTTGGCTTGACTTTTGAAGTTCGTCGTCCCAAGAAGGGAGCGGACAAAGAGTTCTGGCCTCACGACGACCTGCGAACATTATTTGTTTGTCCTCGATACTCCGTGAGCAATTTTTTGATCATCAACTCAACTTTAGGTTTGTACATCGACAACACCCAATTGCGAATCCGCAACAACATCACTTGAAGATGGAAAACATCGATGTCACAGGTCTGATCGAGTTTCCTGCTGATTGGCAAGAGATGCTGAAGTTTGCAAGCGGCCTCGTCAGAATCCGCCTTCTCGGGCGGAACTAGGAATGTAAACTCACGTACGATTCGCTTTGTTCCTGGTAAAATGCGATGAAAGCTTCCCACAATGTTCCGCACGAAGCGAAGGCAAAAACTGGGAGCGTGTCTGTGCCATCGTCCTCGGACCAGAGTTGTTGCAGAAGACTCAAAGCTTTGGCAGCACCACCTGCAGACTGATTTTCCGCGAAGAATAGAGAACTCGAGTCCGACTTTGCCTCATAGACAAGAAAGGGAAACGCGAGCTCTTCCAGCCCTGTCGAAGGCGTCGCGATTAGCCTGAATGCTGCGTGCGAATTCAGCTGCCCAAGTATTGGCTCAGTCAAGAGCTCATCCCTGGCGCGTGTCCGCGAAGACATCGTTTGCAGCTCTGCTCTCTCGATCACGCGAAGTCCGACACCGATGTCCGGCTTTGGGATAGAGAGCGGTCTCGAATCTGCTGACATAGGACCGACGGGCGCAGTCCATGCGACATCTTCGCTAGTCCACGGATAGGCGCGGAAAGAGTCAGCGCGACGTCATCGTCAAATCTCGAGGTACCTCACCTCGAACGAAAGGCATCGCATTCCGTGATCACACCCATGATACGGCGATTAAGATGCATCCATGCGCTCTCCACCCTGCCCTGAAAAGAATTTGGTTGCATTTCCTTGACCAGGATTGCGCAAGACATCGCTTCTTTGAGCTCCGAGACTGATGCTTCTTCCACAGCATCAGCGATTTTGTCCATAGTCGGTTCGTACTAGAATGCGTCGGAAGATGTCGATTAATTGCGGCATAGGACGTGCGTGATAAGTGGAATTGACCCACCCCAATCAAGGCTGGCGTCAATGGACTAAGATCGGACAGGCTCCGCTTAAGAACGTCGATATGCAAAGGCACTTGTTCTTGTGGAAGGCGGTTGACAAAGATAGATGCTTGCTCGAGAAATCGTTTCCTGTAGGTTCGACTGGCAGCCTTAGTGTAACTTGTGTCTTGAGAGTCTGACATGGTGGTTCGTAGATCAAACCGTCTGTTAGAGTCTGTAGAAAAGTCCTTCGATCTCATCTTTGTATCGAGGCTAGGCCGGTTGCCACGTTGCATTAGCGGAAATTCGGACATAAAACTGAATTGTCACGTGTCACAGAGTCGTGCCGAGTACCGGGTCATAAATGGGCGTTTTTTTTTGCTCCGCGGACGCTCATTCTGGAAGGTGCAGCCCATCTATCTTGCATCTCTGAACCATAAACACTCTCTCTATCCACAAAGTGTGGCATTCAAATACTACAGGTACCTGGAAACTTCACTCAAAAAGATTTCAAGGTGCAAGAAGCAGCAGAAAAGTTGACTGATGGACTAATAACGGCTTTAAAGCAGCGAAGGAGTATGGTGTCTGCCAGCAAACAGTGTTCCGACGTCTTCAAGGCATTTCATCGGCGCCTGTGGCAATAGGAGAGTGCTCTCTGACCGGGAATAGCGCATACTCTGTAGGTAGATAATTCGACCGAGCACCTTGGGATGGAATCCAACAAAGAAAGGTCTTGAAGGGCCGGCCAGCATACTTGCAAAGTCGTCTAATGTCCCAGGATGGTGTAATTGCTTCCTGGAGCGACACAGAGAGCTCAGCTATTGCCAAATTAAGGCTCAGACTGAGGCTAGGATGTGGGCGTCGACACTGCCAAAGGTTGAAGGATATTGTGAACGATTGAGTCGAGTTATTGCTTCGTGAATCTCAAGGTCATGCTGAAAAGGTTGCGTTCTTTCCTTTAAGCTGCAGCAGGTTGTCACAAAGCATAACGTGACAGCTGCAAACATCTTTGAAGTATACTAAGACCCCTCAAGTATCAATTCAAGCTCACTAGGACAGAGAAAACTGCATTCTGGCTACAGGAAGCCATTACGAATTTCCGTCACACAGAGGTGAAGTCGCAAATTATTCAAGAGACAGTGTCATCGAGACAGTCTGTGCTGACGGCTCTCTCCTTCCGCTATCGATTGTAGCCAACGGCACTAAGCGTCAGATGGATATACTCCAACATGCCAGCACGGTCGGTTATTTAGTTAATTTAGTGGAATTAGCATGGCTCGAATAACACAGTGGTCATGATACGCTGGCTCGATGGTTTTAACAGGGCTACTGAGAACAATGAGAGCCCTTTTTGATGGCGCCTGATGCATTTGGGCATCCTCGCTTTCCATTCTTTTCAGCAGTGCTGCATAAGGCTGAGGAGATGAGTCCCGAGATCCTCACGTATGCAGGCACCCTGTCTGTGGGTGCAAAGTGCATTCAAGAGATTTTTGCAGGATTAAAAGGCCAGATGCCTGACTTTTTCGAACGATTTACGCACAATGATGTCCCTAAGGCCTTTTTTCTGGGCCATTTTGAGCAAGCCAAGGAATCTGAGCTTTTCAATGGGGATGTCACGCTCATTGAGATCTTCTTGGAGCCTATCAAACTCGCCATTGAAGATCTTGAAGGCGACGACATCATAGGGCTGCATTTCATGCGTGGCGTTTGAGTGATATGTGGCGATCTCGATCTGCAACTCTTCAACCTTCACAAGCACCCCGTCGACAAGGTGGCATGATACGTTGTCCAGGAGACGCAGCCGCCATTTCATAGCGCTCTTCTCGTCCTCTGCAGCCTGGTCAAAGCTGTCAATCCAACGCAGCATGACATTGCCATTGATTGAACCGCGTTGATTCCACACAACGTTCCAGTTGCCCAGCTCTTTAGTGCGCTGTACGACATCCAGCTGCCTATTGATGCCATTGAAGACAACTGTTGGTGGGAGCAAAGAGCCATCAGCGCAGATAGTCTCAAAAATGCCGGCCTTTGAAGAGTTTACTGTTACGCATCTCCTACGGCGACTTTGTTTCTCGATTCACGTCGTCCACCTTGAGAACGCCTCTGAAGAGATACAGACGTCATCGGCGTGCCCAGTCTTCGGTCGCAAAGTTTGATCGCTAAATTTGCGCAATCGCGAGTTGCATATTACTTAATATACTCTGATTTGTCATTCGTCTCATCTGAGCGCTCACTGCGTACTCCATAATCGTCAATGGAAACTCTGTTGTGCGAACAAGATGATTAACAAAGGTTCTGAGACCCTTGCCTCGGCATTTCGCCAGCTTGATCTGGCCATGGGCTCATTAAATACCGTGGAAGTGTGCGTGAAGGTGGCTCGGGAAGTTATCTGCTGCGTCAGTCAACGCGCGATGAATTCAAGGACCGACATTTGTGGATTTTCAAGCGACCGAAGGAGAGGAAGAGAGAGTGCTAGCGAAGCGGCGCCTACAGCAAAGGGACAATACAAGAGGAAAGAGAGCGGCGAGGGCGAGGACGTGACGGCTCAGAGATCCTTCTCGTTTTTTACAGGCCGGCCAATGTGCCATTCTTCCTTATAACTGAAGAAGCCTGATGTTCTCGTTGTCAATGCATTCACTCATCACTAATTCCTCCCAGGCACTTGAGCCTCCAACAATGCGGGTCAAAACGAGCAGATGTGCCGCGACATCGTCTTTACACGGGATTCGAGGTACTCGTTCTACTCCTCAGGGGTTCGCTTCGGAATGTGTTGCTAAGAGAGCCTTGAAGCTTATCCTATACTTCAAAAGAATGTCGTTGTAGCTTTTGGAGAAGTAGGAGTCCTGCAGTCTGATTCTGACTTCCATCTAAGTTCCTCTGATTTCTGGAGGTACATTTACAGGTACCGCTTTAGAGATGCTTACATACGTCTTTGTCTTGCTCAAGTCGCTTTCTTGCTCCGAAGCATAAAGCTCTACAAGTCGGCCCCACCCGAAGAAGATAGCGAGGGGAGAAGTCTTTTCACCACCAAATTGATGCTGATGAGATTCTACACAATTGTCAGATTTTTTGGCATGTTGCAAGTGTAAGATAGTAGCAAGAGAAAGAGCCCTTCGTACTTTTTGTGTTCCTTGCTTCGCTATGCATGTCTCTCCATGCCTCGCTAGATATTGAAGTGATCTTGCGAATCCTCAGATTTGACTCTCGGAGAAAACGCTTTTTTAAAATTGTTCGCACAAGTTCACATCCTACTTCGAAACAAAGCATAAACTAATCACAGCACTGTAGAATATTGCCTGGTAATGTGGTGACAAGCGCCTGTACCAGCTGCATCTGATCTCGAAAACCTTAGTGCCTCACCTGTGGTCAATCTTCAACATTACTCCAGCTGAGATATCGTGGCCGCTCTTGCGGCGAGTGTGAAAATCGATTTCAGAATTTTACGCGTCATATCTTATCCCACCGAGCTTGCATTATCGTCCAGAACTTCAAACTTTAAGGACACGTGCACCGGCCGGCTCCATGATAAAGTCGAAACGCATGATAAACTGTTGTGCGAGGACGAGTCTCATTTCCATTTAATCACCATTTGATTATTGATTTGGCGAAGGCGTACGTGACGCCCTCACCATCCTGAGTCAGAAGACAAATAAGTTGAGCCTGGTATTGCCTGACGACTGCTCTCGAGCATATCTACTTTGCTTGACAGTGGTATACACTTCTCGTGGTGACGGCTGCGGTAGCAATCTTGACGAGAAAAAAAAAGAAAAAGAAACCAATGTCAATACCAACACCAACACCAACACAATCGAGTCGCTAGCGAATACAATTTCGATAGCGCGAGGCACTCCTTGGGAGCAAGCAACGGCTCCATACAGTAGAAAAGCTGAGGTTGTGCTCGGGTCGAAGTTCGCCGGCAATACGAGAGACGAAAGAGTGAGCGCTTTCTTACAAAAGAGCCATTTAGTGAATGATGTGATAACCAATAGCGATTCGTCCAGAATACCAATTGATCTCTAGAATGGTCGAAGGGTGCCCTTGTGATGACGCTGAGCGTGACCTGAGGGGGTTCGACTACACCCTCAGGAGCTTCTTGCAAAGCCGATTGAAGAAAGCTCAGGACAGTAGGTTAGAGCTAGAAAAGCAATCAGCATGCATAGACATGCTCATGTCTCTGCAATGCCGTCAGATTTCCGGACCCCCGAGCAGTGCGACCAGTTGCATGATATGACTCAGTCTGTGATTTGAGCTTGTAACTTGACGAAGAAGCATTCGAATTTGGTTGATTACCTCTTCAAGGGAAACATGAAATCGAAAATATTCAATCGATTCATGTTGAAACGTGTTGAAACGAAGAGGTGGAAGATTTCAAAGAGACGATGGCACTTATTTCACGGTCGAAGGGAAGCCTACGATTATGTAAACCGGCTTATGTGGATGTTCCCGACTAGGATTTCTCTTGCCATCAATGGTTTTCGTCTCGGAAGTAGGAGATCTTGATATGCTTCTTCTGTTCCTGATCGAGCAAGTCGTCGACGGAGGCAAGCTTTCATATGAGATAGCCAAATCGATCTTTTGTCATTCTTTACAGAGGTCAGCGTCAGAGGATGCGTCCGTAGTATCATTGACCTGCTTGTCCTTTGTCTCGTCCCCAGCGAATGGTCGAATTTCCCATCATCTCAGCTCACGCGGGGTGAACGGGAACATGCAACGATGCGATTGTTCCATTTCTCGCCGTGCCATCTCGTCAATTCTCGAAGCCACAGCTTCTCTGATCGTCTTGCTCATCGTTGCGGAATGAAGAGCGTTACGCACATCGACGAGATCGACGATCTCTTAAAGCAGTTCTATAGACAGTTGCTCAAAGATGATCCGGCTCGAATTAAGATGATCCGGCTTGAATATCCCGACCATGAAGAGCAGAAAAAGAAGTAAGTGTGCCGAGGATACTCTAGGAGCTGGACCTTGCAAAAAAAATTCAAAATTCCAATTTCGCTAACGTGGCGCTAAGTCTTCCCGTCTTATCTGTCAAGTGGCTGCCAAGCCCACACTTCCGAGATGGTATCTCGTACCGAACGACGCCCTGCCTTACAATAGCGCGTTGCACGGATGCAGACAGTCTCTCTTTGAGCTTTTTCCTTCTTTCGTGCAATGCTCTCAATGGGCTGCAGAGTCAGGCCGAGGAGCCCCGCCTCAACAGCGACGCCACAGTCTACATTCGGCGTTGCTTTTGACGATAAGGGCACGTGCGAATTGCTCTCCGAAGGAGAAGCATTGCATGTGGACACGAAGCTGCAATGTCAGACTAAATCACCACCTTCGAAAATCATTGCTGTGTTTGATCTCTGCTCGCCTGAGCGCCAACACTCGAATTTCACTTTCGGAGCAGTGCTTTGTCGAAGTCATTATTGAGTAGGCCTTTCGTTGTGAGACTATTTGACCTGTCGTCCCCACTTATCGCTCACCCGAGCATCGCTAGCTGCCATCAGAGAGCCGATAATTGTATAGCGATCAAAGACGCTCTCGACGGGAACGCCTTTCCAGACAAGCTCGTATGGTCCGATCTGGTACTTCTCGTGGGGATCTTGAAGCGCTTCGCAGATGGTCTGATGAGCCTCATCTGTGTCGCGCAGCGAGCGCACCACCCGCTTGGTCGCATTGAATCGGGTGCCTGCCTTAGTCCGGCCCTGGTCTTCACACCACCTGACGCGCATTTGCCCCTTGCCCTCTATTCGGCAGCGTATATGTAGCAAAGTACGTTCCTCATCGGGCAGATGCCTAACAAAGAAATTCGCCAATTCGTGGTAGGTCTCAAATGACTTTGTTGGTATCGTACTGTTGTCTTTGCGGCGCACCAAGCGATCGAATAGATGTTTAATACTGAACATAATAATTGCCTTGCCTTGGTCGTGGAGGATATAAGGCAGAATCGAGTCTGAACTCGCAAGAGAAAAAAGGGCGGCGTAAGGTGTGTACGTTCCCAAAGTCACGTGAAGAATGTGCTTGCGTATCGTTCTTGCTTTTCATCTGTGAACAGTACCGTCGCGTGGGATCCCGCGCACGCTTCTCATTGAAAAAGTGTCCCGCTTATGCTTTCATTTCAACGCCTGCTGCGGCCTCCAAGAAGAGCGTCATTGCATTGTCGAGCTCTTGCTGCAAATGTCCACTCAGCTCTTGCTGATCCACTCATCTCTTGCTCAAAGATTTCTGTACGTCTTAGCCAGCATCGGCGCAATCGGCAATGACGCGACTCATCTCTCACTCCGCCATCCGAGGGGCTGCTTGAAGAGCCGCCTGGTGATCACGGGAAAAAGAAGTATTGGCGAATTTAGTGATGAGGCATTAGCGAAGTTTGAATCCACTAGAGCTTGAGGCGTTTACAACAACGTGTCCCTCTCTGTATAATATCCTGAGATTCTTCTAAGGCTCTCGACCTGCCCCACATTTGACTGAGCACTTTATCAGATCTCGGACTTGCAAGTGCCCTCTTCAAAGGTTGTCAATGCTCACGCCCGATAGTCCGCAGTGATCCGACAAGGCCGTACAGAAATGACGCTTCTTAGCTTCCATGGAGATTGCTTTAATTGGCTCAGCTGCCCCTTTTAAGGATATCATGCGCTGTCCATGCACGACCCCTCCTAAGACTTTTCTATTGCCATGCTGCTACTTTGTTAACCGTGTGATCAGGGTGGCCTCACCTCCGTACTTCTTTTTTTAAGAGATTTTCGATTTCGCCGGAAGCGTCATCTCACGAGGTCGAGAACTATCAAGTCCAAGAAGGAGCAGGATATTTCGCGCCACAACAGGACTGTCTGGCCAGGTGAGGAAGCATGAAGCAAGCAATCTTGAGGCGAACGCGCAAAGAGCACACGATCTATATGTCCAAGCAGCCCTTGTTACCACACGTCTTGGTATATTAAGAGCAAACCTCTTGGGAGCAAGGCAGAAAATTTTGAAGTCACAGCGAGCACTTCTATTTTTCAATAGTTGTCACAACTAGCTCCATTCGATCAGCACGTGCTGCATCCCCAGAAAACACGTGGTAAAATCTCATCTTTGTACTACCGTGCCAATTTCTTCCGTGAACGCTTTTTGGCACGTGTTTTTTGATTACTCAGCATTCTGCTACGCCATCCTTAATAGCATGATTTTTTGGGGGCATTACAAGGGCCCTGGACAGGCCAATGCTCCCCTAAAAGAACAAAGAAGAAAAACAAAGTTATGATGTACTTGTCATAGGACCGAGTTTGTTGCTGTCATGGCGTGAAACGAGTCAAATTGGGGCGTTTTTGCACTCCGCGAACACTCATTCTGGGCGGCGTCGTCCGTCTCTGCTGCAGCTCTGAACCACCATATCTCTCTCCAATCGCCTCCAATGCCTCCCAAAAAGCGCCAAACTCTTGCTGAGATTGCTCTTAATGAGTCCATGGTCCAAGAAGCGGTGCAAAAGGTACGCAATGGAGCGTCAACAGCCTTCAAAGCAGCAAAGGAGTACGGTGTCAACCGCCACAAGGTCCTTCGACGTCTTCAAGGCATTCCTTCAGCACCAGAGGCAATGAAGCAGAGAAGGAAGCTCTCAGACATAGAGGACAAGGCACTGTGTGAATGGGTGGTGCGGCGGGGCATCTTGGGATGGGCTCCAACAAAGGAGGAGCTCGAAGAGCATGCCAGCATGCTTGCAAAATCGCCAATTGCCCCAGGATGGGCTAATCGGTTCCTGGAGCGACACAAAGAGTTCAGCTATCGCCGAATCAATGCCCAGACCGAGGCTAGGATCTGGGCATTGACCTTGCCAAAGATTGAAGCGTACTATGAACTGGTGAGTTGAGTTATTGCTTTGCAAATCTAAGGGTCATGCTGAAAAAGGCTGTATTTATTTCTTGAAGCTGCAGCAGGTTGTCACAGAGCGTAGCTTGACCGCAGCAAACATCTTTGGCATGGATGAGACCCCCAAGTACCTGTCCAAGACCACCAGGGCAGAGAAGAGGCGCATATTGGCTTCAGGAGGCCGCAACGAAGAGCCCACGCAGAGGGGTGGAACCGCAGATACTTCAAAGGCCAGTGTTATTGAGACAATCTGCGCTGATGGCTCTCTTCTTCCACCAACAATTGTGTTCAATGGCAAGAACCGACAGATGGATGTACTCCAGCATGCCAGCACACTCGGTGACTGGGTTATTGAGTGGAATCAGCATGGCTCAAATAACACAGAGGTCATGCTGCGCTGGCTCGACTCTTTTGACAGGGCTACAGAGAAGAAGAAGAGTCCCTCTGGATGGCGACTGCTGCTCTTCGACAACGTCGCATTCCACCCTGCTGCAGCGGTGATACAGAAGGCGGAAGAGATGAACATTGAGATCATCACATACCCCTCAAACGCCACCCATGAAATGCAGCCACACGATGTACTCGCTTTCAAGAACTACAATGATGAGTTTGAGAAGCTCAAAGCCGAACGGAAGAGACTCAGCATTGGTACCTGCAAGTTGGCTTTCCTCAGCATGCTCGACGAGGCCCGTACAGTAGGCATGCGGCGCAGTATCATCCTCAAATCGTTCGAAAAGACCGGTATCTGGCCAATCAATCCTATGAAGATTCCTCGAATTCATCTTGCACCAACGGATCGGGTGCCTGTAAAGGAAGAAGCAACACCACAGCAACGGCTGGATGCCTTTGAAAAGAATCTGCTGGAACTGCCTCGACTTAGAGCCGACATCAAAGAGGATTTGCGGAAAATGTTCAAGCAGGAACTTGATGGACGTCTCCGGGCAGAGCTCGACAATGCGGGCAAGGACACTCTCATTGAGGGGCTCCGAAGCTCCCAGAAGAGGAAGAGAAGCAACACCTTTGTTTCTCAGCCCAACCGATGGAATACAGCGACTCTACAGGCTCGCAAAGCATCAGGATCAACCCTTTCATCCAAGGCAAAAGGGAAGCAGCGCGCAACAGAGGCAGAGATCACTGCAGAAGCGTCGGAGGAGGCTCCAAAGACCACCAGTCAGCTGCCCAGGACCCTGCCTCTCTGGGAAGGATATCCACCGAACCTGGCAGAGTATATGAAGGACTTTGTGACCTATAACGCGGAGGGCCAAGAAATGCTGAGGTCGTTCAAGGCAAAAAACCATGGTGCAAGTGGATCAGGATCGTCTGGACAATCCTGATTATAAGATCCCCTTTAAACCCTGGCAGTACACACTCGATGTATTCATGCAACTTCACTCCAAACTTGAATGCATCATACCTAATATTGATTGACTTTGCCTATCAGAGAAAAAGTGATGCACGTCAACAGCATGAATTTTTGGATTTTCAGTTGGGAGTAGTACTGTAAAATTTTCTCATTCTTGCCTGTTCTCAGAATTTTACTAAGTGAAAATTGTCCTTCTTTTGAGAGGATGCGTGCATTCAACGGTTCTACTAGCATGCCAAATCACAAGCTATAACACACACTCTGGATGCCGCAGCAGGCGTCGAAGTAAAAGCGTTCGCGGAAATTTTTTTCAATTAGTAACGTTCGCGGGATGCCACGCGACGGTAAGTTCTCTTATCTGGTCTTCGCATAGTACAGCTGTTTTGCACCTAATGAGCATAATTTCCTTGGACACCCGTGTGCAGACGCCTTAATCGAAATTGCAACGTCGCGCTTTTATCTCTTCTGCTCCGAATGAGCTCCATCTCATGCTTATTTCTTTCGCGGTAGGCCCCCTCGTCTGGGCCCGGAAATGTCGTGGATTTGTGTTCTCTTTTGCGGGGCTGGTCTCTCGAATTCTGAACAGTACCTTTGTCACTTCTCTCTCTATGAGCTTGACGATCGCACGCTCTAATCATCATCATGAATCAAATGCAGAGATATCCTTTGGCGCAAGTACATTGGGATGATAAAGGCTCTTTGCGCGTTGACGATGAAAGCGGTCAGAGGCTGCTTCTTTTAACTATTCGTTTCCTTCGCTATGGGCGAGTACGACGCTATTCTTTCGTTCTGCAACAGCTCAAGAACTGCTACCTCGAGCCTGGCTTCCTTGTCAACTCCGAATCCGGAGAAATTATGTCAGGAGACGAGAGTGTTCAGGAAGGAGTGGTGATATATAGGCAATCTGGTGAGTCTGCGCACAAGAGGGCGCTGCTATCCGAATATGCATGCCCTAAACCCGCTGTCACCAGATCGCCGGCTTGTGGACATCGTCCCTGCACACTCAAGACGACAGGTCATCTCCCTTCACACCTACTCAAGGTCCACGATTCAAGTATAAAACATCGAATTCCTGCTGAGGGGGACGAAGGTAGCCTTATGAGCAATTCGAAGCGTTCAACCCGCCAATCAGGTGAGGAAGTAGCCGCTGGAAACGTCACCCACAAAGCTTCCAATGACTGGTTTGACCAGACGCGATTTCGAGAGTCGCTTCTATCACGAGATTCTGTCTGTCTCTTGTCAGGTGCAAGTTACACGAATTGTACAGCAAGCCATATTCTACCACAAAGTCGTCCTGAGGTATGTGAGACCAGCCGACATGCTTCACGTTTTGAGCTGAAGAGCCATCCAGTACTACACCGAGGTTTTAGGCTACGATCCAGGGTATCTATTCCTGCCGCAGTACGGCCTGCTGCAACGCGATGATCTACACCATTCTTTTGATCGGGGTGAATGGGCATTCCATGCGGACGTGAGTGCAGACTAGCGCCCTGGACTGGCCCTTAAGGGGTCTTCTTCTCGCGCTCTTACCTAGTCTCCTTTAGGGCAAAGACCTAGTCGTGCACTTCTTCGTTCTGAGTGATCCCTCTCTTGCCCATTTACATGGGAAGTTGGTGAATGACCATCCACACATTCGACTTCTTGAATTCCATTATAAGCAATGCTCCATCAAGCACCTTAGGGGTTATTCAGCATCCGATGTTCTAGCCTAAAAAGAAGAACATCAAACCAGAATGAGGAAGAACTCCGACCCAAAAGCGAGGGCAAGCTGCCGTTGAGGATAGAAGGTTTGCACGGTCTCGCGATACGAAACAGTGGAGCAGGGAATTGTTGGTCGGGGTCAATATCAGACAATAGATCACACAAAGGCATGTTCATGCAGCCCAGAGATGTGACGACATATTTCATTACTGTGACCGACTCATTTCTCACAATAAATTGCGCGCGAAAGGTGCAAGTGAAGTGAATCGTATTTGCTGTGCAAAAAAGTGCTTCGCGAGCTGTAGAAGGGACTTCATCTCGATGACACCACATGCAAAGATTCTAGCGCAAAAGCTTGCTAAGGGGTCTAGAGGGGCGACTCGATCCTGAATGTGCAATGTGCGAAGGTCCTAAGCAGAACAATGTGCTCCATTGTCCTCCCCGTTTGATGTTGAAGCTTGGTGGCTCATATTTGAATTCTCCATTACAACAGAGCGAACTACACCAAGATCACCCATCTAAATAAGGCAAGAGTGCATTGTCAGAAACAGTGCAGCTCATCTAAGCTCGCACAAAGCAGTTGCACAACCAAGGAGCACAAACAGATAGCCAAACAACAGTCGACCATCTGCACATCGCGCTGCTTGTGAAGGCTTACTTGGCGTACTTTGACAATATTGTCGGAGCTTTAGAAGGTGCCGTGCCTGCACACAATCGACTCTCGCCGGGGGCAGTCGTGATCAACACCAACATCGTGTCTGGCTGGACGGCGCGAGTGCTAAATTCATCGGCAGTGATCGTCGATGTGCTCGGTGGCGCAGCTGACTACCAAGAGTTCTGGGTGTACTGCTCTTTCGTTCAGCCCCCCATTTTTGCTTGAAGTATCTCAAAGAAATCGTTGACGACTTCTGTTGTCAGCCATTATCGTATGTACTCTGGCGTGTCTAAAGGTGTGCAGTGCGACTGCGATGCCTACTCTGCTCAGCGACAATCGACATTCTTTGGCAAACAAAATTGTACGCTAGAATCTATCGAGACCTACATACATAGATTTGGGCTACAGCAGCAGGCCAACGAGGCCTCGCAAATTGCAAGCTGTGGCTTACACTAGTGCAGACGAATGCTCACTTCTCCCTGTCGATGGCTCTGCACGCTGCAGACTGGGTTGGAAGCGAGGTCGAGCGCCCGTCTACGGAAACAGCATATCATGGTTTGATCTCGTCTAGTCCACACGCCAAGTTACTTCGTTCAAGCCAGCCCTTGGGCGCTGCGATCACAGATCTACGACTATGTGACCCTGCTCTCGGCACGGCGCGCTACCTGGTGCTCTCATCAAACACGGTACAATCTTGTGCTGCCTGGCTTGTAAAGAAAGCATCAGCACCAGGGGTGGAACGTGATTTTCATCTCCCAAGCCAATTTTGAGTCACACCCTCTCTGCTTTACCTTAGTGATCTCTGTCTGGAAGTTATGGACTGGAGCGCGCTGCTTTCGAACTTTTCTTGGCAGGAAGACGTGATTCCCGCGCATCTACGACTGATCCAGCCTCACTGGGTGAAGACGTCCGTGTGCTGCACGCTTCCTTGGGAACGCATTTAGGTGTCACGCTTCGACACAGCTAAATTTCTCCTCAGCGCGAGCCCGGCGACGATCATGAGCATGCTACGATGAGGTCTCCTCCGCGACGCAAACCGCGATCGTGACCAGGAAGAGCATAATCTCGGCATCTTTCCCATTCTCGAGAGGCCTGGCACAGAGACAATCAGGTATCCAGATTCGATCGGGACCAGCTGCGTGTGGTCCTCGACCATGGCATCAGAGTCCCAGCTCTCTCGGACACGACTCGAGACGTGGAAGGCGATGATTCTCGGACTCCAGGAGATCCCGCTGATAGCAGGACAACAAAGGAGCGCTGGCCAGTTGGTGGACTACTACAGAACTTCAAGCTTCAAGAACTTGAAAAGGACGCTTTGCTGGCGCAAAGCTTTGGTCACACAACACCTGGTATGGTCGACCTAGTAACGGTAAAGGTCGCCGAGGACCGCCTAGATTTTGTGAAAAGTAGACTTCACGTAAATGCCTTGCGGGCCGCCGCTGTCGCGTTGAAGTACCTCGCGGAAAGGTCCTCGCGATATTATAAGATCAGCGACGCTGAGTCGATGGGCGATTTTCAAGACGGCAAAGTGATTTACATTCCCGGAAACGTCCAAGACGGCGGATGGTGGTGCCTTCTTTTCCTTGCGCGACTGAAACATCGCGACCAGCGTTCTTTGGCTTGCT